TAAATCGCGCGTAATTCCGATGTTTCATAAAATATTAACGCCAAGTTCTAATTATGATTCCGGTCTCCATCGTAGGAGACTCCGTATATTTCTGAGCATGCAATTAACGATGGACATTTCCGGCCGTAACCGAAAACTAGTTGGTCGCGCGTTGCGCGAGCTCGCGCGAAACACGGTAGTACAGTAATACTGCCGCAGCGGCTGATATTGTAATAAACGAACTGTGCGCGAGACACCGCAGCCATTAATTCACGTGGATCGCGCAAGGCGGTGGTGGTCCGCGGGGGCATAAGAAGGCGAAATTTAGTGAGCCACTGGTGGGAACGTACAGACCTCTAATGGCCATTCCGATGACTATGGTTCTCGACCACAGTGGCAATCCCCTTTCGGTCCCGTTCCCCAAGTCTCTCTCGGCGAGCATAGTCCCTTACGCGTTCTAACTCGTTCTTCGTCCCGCCAACCACCCCTTTGTCACTCCTTCTCACTTCCTATCGAATCCCTCCTCCCCTAACCTCTCGTCCTCTCTTCCTCTCTTCCTACCCCACCCGCGTATGCAACGGCGTTCCAGCAATTACGCATCGCCGCAGTTAAATACAATGGCCAGGACAACGACTCTGTAATTTATCCCCGGTTTGGGCCACCGCCCGTGCGTTTGTTTCCAACGACGGTGGAGGTCGTCGTTGCCCTTTCCGCGCGCGCGTTCCGCGACCATTCGACCCCATCCAGCGTTCGCCACGTTTAAATTAATGATAAGTAATAATGCTGGTGGACGTCGTTGTCTGGACGTAAAATACGGACCGAATCATTATCAACGGATTATACAAAAAATATCACGTCTACCAAATTGTTTCTCGTTTAAAAAATTAACATAGATGTCTGACAGACGAATAACCACTGTTTAAAAATTAAATCTACATTTAGCAGTATAAACGCGTTTAGACCATGTATACATGTATTATATCAATTATCCATTGTGAATCACCACTATATTACGGGCGATAATCAATGGTTTTCTAAATTATTCCATCATGGCACACCCACACATGAATCTCTAATGACAGAGACCGTCGTTATTCAGTCCCGTTTCTTCGGTATTTAAGTTTATGATGATTAATAATATATTACACGTATAAACGACACACGCAGACGTACATATATTTAAAACACGCGTCGATAAAAGCCGACACGCGAATTTGCAAGTCTTACGAGCTCATACGTTACGTACTTCCTTTTCGTCGTAATTAATTGATCTATGAGTCGTTAAAGAATGTCGATTAGCGAATGAACGATGTCTAAGGTATTAAAGTCTCTAATTACTTTAATGATAATAAAACGCGATAACAGGACGTTCCGCAAAATAGAAATTTATAGCACGATTTGTTGCGTTCTCATGATCATTAATACTTACAATGCTCTTTTATTCCTAACAACAGTTCCTAACAATTAATGCCCTTGTACGGATAATTATTGTCTTGCTTCTATTACACACGCTGATATAGAATTCTTTTTATCCCATTAAACGCTTATATATCTTTAATCGTTTCCTTATTTCAAAAGTGACACAACTCGAAACGTGATTTTTTAGTTATTATCGAATTTTTAATTTAAATTTTAAATAAACACATTACACTTTTAATCATCAAAAGTAAACTAAGTTAACTTTCATAAAGTTACATTAAAAAATCATTACAACTCAAAAAGGAAATTTTAAGAAAGATCATCAAAATTGTTACAACTTTAAAAGAAACTTTTTAAAAGTTGTGAAACGAAAATGACAAAAATGATATTAAATTATGTTAAGAATCTATTCTCTTTGCTGATATTCTTTGATTGGTCAATAATTTTCTGTTGAAAAACAGTTTTCCCCCTTACCAGGAAAACTTAGTTTCTTAAATTGGTCAGTTTTGAAGTAAGGGAACGATATGTTCATAATGCATTACAATTTGATAAATTCGTTTACATTACTTTGAACAGCTTCAGTCGTGTGAAAAATGTACGAATGTGTAAAAACTCGAAAAAGATTTTGATAGATTTCGAGAATTTCCTATATTTGTGTCTCATATATAAGTTTTTTTTAAAAATCATATTTTTAGCGCAAATCAAATAAATGACAGTAAAGATGATACATTTGCGGTTAAGAAATACGTCTTTCCGCACCGAAAAAAAAGAAAAAATAAAAAATTTAACTTTTTTAAATCTCAAAATTGCTTTAAGTCTACATGCACAATAGTAATTTACTTTCATCCCTGTAAAAATATTGCGATCTTTAAAAATACAACTCGATTTTTTATTAACTTGATATTGAGATTTTTGCAAATATTTATTTTTTATTTTTGATACGTCAGAATTAAGCAACACATGTGTACGGTATCTTCTATCTATTTCTGACGATCATAATCCTTTCGCAACTACCGGTAGCTTTGCTATACACGATACCAGAAAAAAAAACGCGCTCGTAAATCCGATCTCTGTGAGTACGTAAACGCATACGTGTGCACGCAATATCGTCTAACAGGTGCGCACCTACATCGCTTATCTCGCGTCGATCGCCACAAGTCCACGTGCGAACACGTTCGAATATTGACGTACCTACTGTCATCCTAGGTCGAATTCCGTTAGAAATACTTCAAAGTCGACGTTTGCTGATTCGCCGTTCTTTCAGGAAAATCAAACTGACTTTAATTAAAAGGAAAAAATATATTTTATAACAAATAAAGCTCTGAGAAAATATATATGATGTAGAATAACGCATTAACAATTAATTGTGTAGTTGTCAGACTTTGCTTCAATAAATTGCAAACGAAAATTTGTAAAATAATAATAGTATTGATTTATTAAATATGTACGTAAAAGGGTATTAAATAGTATTATTTCATAAATTATATCTACTGATATTTTACATATATCATTAAAAAGCATAATACCTGGATTTGCAATTCGAATATGAATAACACAGTAATAAATTCAACGCGCTAAAATGAAACGAAACTATATAATAGCAGTAACGGGGATCACATGTCTCATTGACCAGACTTCCACTTGAGTATCTCACCGGCCCTGCTCGAGATACCAGACGGCTCGTTAGTTCGGGATCAATTAGTACGTCGCGAGGGGTCACCGAAAACGGAAAGAAAACTTTAAGAATTTTCCTGATTAAACAGAACGCCTTTCCAAAAACGTGACTTTGTTGCATGTGCGCGCGCACACGTGAAGAGCGTAGAGAACGTAGGTGGTATAGTAATGATGCTAATTAACACGAGGATAATTTTAGTTGAATTATACCGCAGCAGCATGGCGACATTTCTAAACGCCTCTCGGCGATGTAATTGCTGAACGTTTAATTGGCAATTGAACCATTATATCGTTATTGCTTTTATTTCTGTTACTTTCGCGTAAGTGCAATGATAGGAGAATAAATTTCTTTAAAATAACTGTACTCCATCCTAATTGATCGTTACTTTTATAAATTATTGCGTTCAAAGTTATGCAGCTATTTTTTAATTTTTATCAGCTGTTCTTTTTAATCTTTCATTTATTACTACTTGAAACATTGGCTGCGTTCAGCAGGAAAAAATAGCCTTGCAACTGTTATCAAATTTTTTAATATAATTGGTTTATACATTTAGATCCAATGAGGAGCTAAAGGTAAGATCAATATCGTATTAAAGGATTTTACAACGAAAGTTGTAAAGCTGCTTTTCTGCTGAATGCATTCATTTTTGATCGATAATTGTGTTACTTGTTTAATTAATAATCATATCATTAAGTATACGTGGATATATAATATATGTGAGCAATTTCACGAAATAACATAAATTCATATTCTGTTATTTTTGCTATTAATTTTCGAAATTATTTGATATAATTTTTTTTTAAAGAACGTACTTATATTTGTTTCTTTCATATAAACGTGATAAAGCCAAAATTCAATGGACAAAAGATGACCATTAACATTGTTGTTATACTTGAACTTAACATTGCATTAAGTAATGTAGTCTGAAAGCTTAGACTTTGTTGATTTATTAATACAGTTATTGTAAGATATTTTCTATCAGTATTAATTATAGTACTCGTTTCTTTGGTATTTATTATTAATATCAATAAGGTTTGAGAAATAAGGAAAAGATTGAAGAGAATGCGGATGTCGAGAGTAAAAGATTTTTTACTTCGATTTAATTGGCGACAAAGTATAAGCGGATTACATGGAATATTATAATCACTTATTGCGGAAAACACTGGGATATATACGTTATACGTACTTTCTCTATCTAAGCTGTATAACATATGTATCTAGACTCGTATATAAGAATGAGGAATATACAGTGTGAGATCGTTTCATGCAGTGATATAATAATCGCCATCTAATCTCTAATGTATATCTTACATATAAACAAGAATACAAATTATTACTGTATTTACACATTATATACAAATAAATAACTTACACTTAAATTGACAGGAAACTTTTTTCGCAAACTAACTGAGAATCCTATCTATATATATAGCTAACCCTAGTAGCATAATATTGGCTCGATATATCCCCAATGCTTAACAAATGTATCGCCAATAAATTTATTGCTACTAGGAAACAAACATAAGATCAAAATTAGTAACAAGCACACACTAGATTTAATTTTCAGATCAATTCATACGCTAGGATAGTTTTCTTCATACCAAAGCAATCTCTTGAACTCGTGTTTAAAAATGTTAAAGTATATGTACTTCATACACAAATGCATTTTCTTTCGTTAGAAATTGACAATAGGTAAGAACTATCGCAAAATTTTCCATGAGAATAAAATATTTATCGAATTATTTAAAAAACATTGAAAAATTGTTAATTTTCTTTTAAACATTTTGTTTTAAGCATACTTTTATAAAGTAAATATAATTTTGTTTATTCAAAATTGTTTAAACTCACTAAATACTTAGTTTAAATATGAAAATGTCGAAGCCAAATAATTTTCTAAGATATTTTATAAAAATTTTTTTTCGCTGGTTTTTTATAAAAACATCCTATTTATCATTAAGCATATCGATTTACTTAGCTATTAGTTATACTGTTCAATTGCACTATAAAAGCAAATTTCATTCTTCGTTACTGGTTTCATTTTTCCTCCCGTCCTGTCTTCAGTCTTTATTCAATCATAATGATTATTATACATTCAGTATTTCTTCATAAATAATATTTTATCGACTTTCTCTTTGTCGACTGCGCTCAACGCTGACGACGGCGTTCTAAATGCGGTCACATGTCATTCTAAGTCTCTAACTCTTCGTTTTGTTACTGCTATTTGAATTTATGCGAGTCTCAATGATTCCTTCCGGTCACAATCTCGTCGCTGTCCTCATCCACCGGTACGGTGGAATGATTGTAAAGACCTTGCGCCATTAGCTGGAGGGCCAATGGATTTTTCTGTCCGCTCGCCTTCTTTATCTTCGCCCGCTTATTCTGAAACCAGATCTTGATCTGCGCTTCATTCAGACTCAGGTCCCGCGAGAGCTGCTGCCTTCTTCTCTCTGTCAAATATCGATTCTCCGCGAATTCCCGCTTCAGCCTGGCCAGTTGTTCGGCGCTGAAGGCCGTCCTGGGCCTCTTCTCTTCCGGCGGGTTGGTCTTGGTACTCTGCGGACGTTTCACTCGTCTCGTGCGCGGTCCTGAAATGACAAAAGAAAGCTCGCATTAATCTTCGCGCGCGGACTTTTGTGACTGAAGTTCGAGACGGAGAGGCAGGCGGCATTATCACGGGGAAAGTGGGCGTTCTCATCAATTTGTCCACACACCACCGTGATTCAGCGTTTTCGCGACAACGAGAGAGCGCGCGCGCGCGCGCGCTTGTTCGCCTTGTAAGAAGGACACTTGGGGGATAACTGTATCTGAGCAACCGCTTTGGAATTTAGCAAAGGCGGAAATAGTTCGTCTGACCGTATCGCGGCGTATTTGAAAATGACACCTGCATTCGCATGTGAAATGTAATTTTACCCGACTGCTAATGTCTATCTCTCGTACGACATAACATAAAATACGGTTACGTTATTAAAAAATCAAGGATCGAGTCATGTCCTTTCTCGCGTTAATGATCGGAATTTTGCAACGCATGCTTTTAATCGTGATAATGAGTACTCCAATCACCCTGCGCAGCTTCTCCATCGAAGGTAACGTTCATCGCCGAGTATCCCAAGCATTAGTGTTACACGTTTTTGATTTTTATTTCAGATAGATAACGCAACTATGTAGAGTTGGAACACATCCGCGTGCTTCAGCACACGTTGCACTTATCGCCAATGCGATGTTATTATTATCAGGTAAACCGTTAATTCATCGTTTCAGCTGTTTGTACTTTAAAATATATCTCTACGATATAAGACATAATTATTATCGATAGTGTGTAAAATACATATAATTATCCGCATTATATCATTACTTTTGAAAAAGTCACATGTTTCAATACGTAGTAATTTAAAAAAGATATCTGATCGTTTCACATACCGATCGTTAATGTTTGCTAACATTATCATCGTTAAAAATACCAGACATTAACTCACTGCAAGAAAACGCAACCATACTCTTTTTGCCGCAATCATCGCTCCAGTTTTAATCATAATTAATGAATAGCGTCCCATTATTGAACTATAAGTATGAGAATTTCTAATCTATTGGTTTTCAATCTTTTGTCTTACGTATTTTTTTTTTCCAAGAAATTTCTTATTTAAACGCGAACTCCTACTGTTTGCGGCGCGACGGAAACACAGCGGGAGATGCGAAAAGGGTCTGATTGAACGAACTTCTCGTGTTATTAATGAAACAAGATATATTTACAATCTGTAAAAATAAATTATGGTAAGTACAATCACATATATATACATATATCTTCACTTTGAGTGTGAATAGCATCGAGAGTTTGCGAAAATATTACGTGACGTATCAAGCAAACAACTTAATACTCAAATGTCGACAAAGCAAACAATTTATTAATGTATGGAATACTATGACGTGAAAGCGTGATAATTAGCTGATAGCGACTGAAACAGGAACAAAAATTTTATACTCTCTGTTTTTCTGAAATATTTGCAAACCTTCGCGATCATGAAATCGACGAGCTGTCGAGGAGCTCGAATTGCAAATAATAATGCAAATTTTAATCAGCTCGCTTTGTCTCAACAATATACGAACAATGTCTTGATCAGAAAGTTTGATACCGAGATAAAGACACTCTAAGGAATATGTTCTTATGAATATGCCGATTGCTCACAAAAAAAGTGAGTACAATGACGTTGAATTTCTTAATTGTGTAATTTGCAATTCTATTAAGTTTGTATCTACTATAACATCTTTTCTAAAAATTAAATGAATTTGCTAAAGTGATATATCTATTGATTCATACAAGATTTTTCTATTTGTTTCTTTCCTTTTTTCTACTATCACTAAATGGTACAAAATGTTACATGAAACCGCACTCAGGGGTTAACGCTCGACGATGAAGAGGCTCGAGGAAGATAAGTGGGCGATCCTCGACAATTAGTAACGAGATTATCGGATCGAAACTCACGGACCACCCCGAGTATAAGAACGGTCGGTGAGTATTTAGCTGACAGAGAAAGAAGAAACGAAGAGTCGTAAAAAAAGGAAGCGACAAAGAAAGCAGAAAAATGGCAGCGTCGTATGTGGGGCAGTGATTGCAGAGGGTAGGTTTGTAGAATGTAGGTTTCTACACAATTAAGTTCTGCGAACGAGCGCAGGTGGCATCAGGCCGTACGTTAGCTTCACCTAGCTATACTTGCAATTAGATGTAGCGATCCTTTCGTATAAAGTTCCGTGATCTCCTGCACAGAGCGTAATAACTTATTGCGGTAATATCGAACGGCGGGATAGACATTAGGCCCGTATGTTGGCCATCGCATAATTTATTTGTGGAGCAAACTGTTATCTAACACGAACGCGTAATTAGATACTCTCAAGGCAGAGATCACCGCAATTTGTCGACGAGGCGTCGCGGATAATCACGACTCGCGTCCGCACGAGTTGGACGCCGTTGGCGTGGAGTTCGCGCGAGCGATTAATCATTTGAATAAGTTCATCGATACGCGATCGCTCCGGTTACGATCATGATCTCGGTTACATCGCGCCCTCCTTATCTCGTTTACTCGTACCATTAGGCATCGCGTTCTCCATGCCCCGCATTCGTAAACTTCGGCTTCTATTATTTTATACTTTCCCTTTTGTCCTTTTTTTCGTCACAAAAAAATAAATAGAGTCGCTAAATCGAGAAAGTATAATTCATGCAAAAGGACCGCGATATGTACATGTATATGTAAAAAGCGACAATTACACTCTCTCAAACTACCGTTAATTGCTCAGAAATGCGCGGAGTGACTTTTTCCTCGATCCGTGACTTCCAGGTACATAGCTAACGATAAGCCCGGACGAAAGCCACGTGTTTTGCTTGTGAAAAGATTTTTACTTATCTTCATGCCGCATAATTTTTCAAACGCTTCTGTAGGGATTTTAATTAACGGTTGGATTTTGTAACTGGAGCGCATTATGGAGCGCATAGGTGAACAAAACATCTTGATAGACATTTCCGACGTTGCGACCACGCAAGTTCTTCTTGCATGTGCAAAGCTAAACGCAAAGTCACGTACCACGCGCACGGAAAATCTGATGAATTTCTAACTTTGTTTGCTTTTTAATGTGCATCGTTAGACATACTAGTTCAGTAATCAAACTCGAAGTTGATACCTGCGATGAGGTAACATGTTATAAATTAAGTTAAACACGATCTCTCTAATTTTTTTATTAAAATTAAGATGCAATTTTTTATTGTATCGATTATTTACTCCACAATTACACGAAAAGTATTTTCCAAAATATATAAAAATTTAGTTAAACGTAGATCTCAAAATTATTTTATTAAACCATTAAATAATTATGTTTTTTTAATTCAAAGTATTTGTGTTTTTGCTCAGGCTAGTTGTTGAACAGTCTAACAAAATTATTTTCAGATCTACATTTATCTAAATTTTTAGATATTTTAACAAAATTGTTTCTTCTGTGTATATATTGATTTTTTTATGTTAACAGATAATAAGGAAAATGTTTATCGAATTTACCAGACGATGGTCTGTCCGAGTATCTGGTGCAGTACACCCAAGCAGGCCACAACTGGCCGTTAGTGCCGTTTTGTTGATTTTTCGATGTATTACTTCCACCGGATGTGTTGTCGCCGTTTAGAGACTCGCTGCCGATTGTGGATGACGTGGAACACAAAGAGGCTGGACCGGTAACCGTGCTACTGGTGACCGAGCTCCTGCTGGACGCGAGACTTTCTAAGCTGCCGCTTCGACTCAATCCATTTTGCCTGAGTAAGGGTGACGTAAGACCATTGTGAGATGGAAAATTGTCTTTTTCTTTGTGGATCGACGGCGGCGACAATCGGGACGATAGGCTGAGGTCACGTGGAAGTGGAACTGGGCTGCTTCGTGGTAATTGTAACGATATCGTAGAAACAGGTTGTTTTTCATCCAGAATGGCTTTGCGACCGAAATCTGGCCTGAGAATGTTAACAACGCTGAAGCGCAATGGTGCCTCGATTTCCTGTTGGCGATCCGGCGGATGATCCGGCTGATGTGATACTACATGGCTTTCTGACAACACATTATGACGATGATGATGGTGGTGGTGGTGACTGGCGAGTCGCTGTCCCAGTCGCAGACCATACGTCGATTCCATGGACACAAGTGCCACGCTCATTTTAATATATATCAAAATATTTTTGTCCTATAAAGTAAAAAACAAAAAGTTACAGTAACACTATACCGTTGCGGCTGTATTAAGAAGAAAGCACACGTTTTCACTGTCCACTGCTGTCAATGAGTCGCATTGATTAAAAATTTGTCATTGTCACGATTGCAAATCTCTAAATTAATTTTAACGAAAGTCTCTCGTATATACACTATTCACGTGTCACCAATATCGTGCCGAGTATTCCATGAGCTGGATCCCTCGAAAGCTAGCACGAATCCCTTCGTGATTACACGTTCTCGTAATTCACAGTTCAATCTTCAATCGATCCTTAAAAATGGTCGAATCCATTATAATAGTTTCGAACATGTCGTAAACGTATTGCAAAAAGGGCGACGTAGAAGCTCTTAGAAATATTCATGCGTCCAATATGGTCTGGTGCTCGGCTCGTGTTAATTATCGGCTCGTCTTTGGAGCCGGTCCAAGTCGAGGACTTCTGCTATCGGCTTTTCCCGAGGTTTCCGAGTACTCCAGCGAGTGCTGTGACGGGTCTGACTGGCTGTCCATCCGTCGCTCTGTGATGTCTAAACTAGGGGACTTGGGGTCCCTACTTACCGCCTGTCCCTCCTCACCCCTGTCCCTTCACTCCTCCTACGCCGTAGTCCGGAGTGCAGTGCACTAGACACCCTCGATTGTATCTCTATTAACTCTTCGGTCAAAGGCTCCGCCCACTGACGGTAAGGTATACCGTACTCCCTTCCTCTTGTCGTCATCCCCACCGCCAATGGTACGGGTAGTAGGGGACTACGCTCACGAATTTCCTGCGATCAATGTTACAAACACCTTCCTCCAGGCTCCCAGTTCCGCAACGAGATTCATCTCTCTTTAATTTCACACTTTTGCCATAACCAGTCAATTAATAGACTAGTGGAATTTAGTCTCGTTCATTGATATGAGTCAAAGATTCCATTTACTATATTTATGTACTGTACGTTTCATTTAAACGCGCAGATTAATTATTGAAAGGCTGAACCACATTACTTACATGATGTACAATTTCATTTTGACACATGACATCACAAAAATAGCTGTGTGAAAAAAAAAACAAAAAGAAAAATACATAATTTTTAATATAACATGATACTAGAAGGTATCAATTTTATCGTATAAAAACTTTGTTATATATTAAAACGAAGCTACATTAACAAAGCTATATAAATCTCATTTGTATATAAAGATATAAACATTTTAAACAAAATTTTTAGATTTATATATCAACCTCTATTTAAGAAATTGTTACAAAAAATACAGATAAATAGCTGCTGTAAAATACTCTGTACAAAATTTTGTTTACAAAGATTTACAGTCCATTTAACATTGTACACACTTGGTGGAATATACGAATATCCGCGCCACTGCGAACAATAACGAGAATACCACTTCTCTCCGCCCCATTTGAGCTTTCCCCACCAGTCCAACTAGCAGGTCTCGCCCACGTCTTTGCCCCTCCTCTAACATACCACGCCTATATTGCCACCCCTTTCTACCCACTACTCCATACTTTTGTTCCTCCCCACCGCGGCAATGTTGCCGACCCGGTCAACCCGGTTGAAGTCGACTAATTCGTTTCTTCAAGCCGAAGAACGCTCTCCTTCTTTTTCTCCCGACTCTTCTCTTTTCATCCCAGACATGGATTTTATCGTCGCGCTTCGGAATCGCTTCATACAAAAATTTGCACGAGCACCATCAGTACCATGATCCTCTATTATTCTCCTTTTTTCTAGTCCCGACGGCTTTGCGACAGTTAACGAACAAATGTATTATCCACCCTATGACAGATGCTGTTCCCCTCTTTGTTTCTTTCCCATTGTTCTTTATCTTTCTCTTTCACTCTACATCTGTGTATACGTATAGTTTTTTTTCTCTATATATCTCACAATCAGCATAACTTATTCCTAGATCGCTTAATCGTACTAACGCTTCAGACAGAGAGAGAGAGAGAGAGAGAGAGAGAGAGAGAGAGAGAGAACTGAAACGAGAGAGGCGGCATAATGTCGAGTCTTTTGTTTGGTACTTTACGTGGCTTTACGATGCAGCTACCGTGTAATGTACCTTCCGCAATCAGTTCTGCTTCGTAAATCTTAGCACGCATCGCATTTGAATATTTAAAAATTCAAAGAGCACCTTCAGAATACTTTATCAGAATGCGTGAGATCTCGAAGTATCTCCTTGATGTATTTGTGCAAAAGCGGAAACTGTTAACACGACAAATGTAAAACAAGTGGCATTATCTATTATCCGACATGTTTTCCGAGATCATAATTTTATTTTCTCATACGCGATTGCACGATTATCAGAAACCAGACTAAATCGACGTTCGAGACTTTTTGTTCGTCAAACTGTTTTTTGCTCATAGTACGATCATCATGTGGAATAACGATACTCTCGTCTGTTAATCAACGGAACAAAATTACGGTCATTAGCTCTTTAACGTCTAATCGCGTATCGGATGTTCTTCCTTCGAAGTGTTATTCCTGTCGTGAAAGCATGGCGAGACTACGCATTAGAAACACGCAATATATATGTATAAGGACTCGTCGTTAAAACGACTGCAATTAAAGCCCGTAACGAAATTCGCCTTGCGATGTAAAGGTCGCACGCGATAAGTCAGGTGTTTCGCGCGGTAATTGGCGGAGACAGTCGACCCGCCGTTCACGCCTAGAAGAACACGCTCAGTCGATGCAACGACGCAAAAATGAGACCTGTGGAAATATCCAGGAGACGTGCACAATTTGCAAATTTAATGAAACTCCGCATCTACGTTATAGCTAAAGTAAAAAACCAATAAAAGGTAAGTTTAGAAATATTTAAAATCAAGATAACGTAGAACAAATATAAAACTGCTTATTTTATTAATTAATTAGACATTTCAATAAAATGACATTTCAATGGAGAAAGACAGAAAGAGAGAAAATATTTTTGTTGGATATATATATATAAGAGACACACAAAAAATAATAATAATACCTACTTCAGCATATCGGTTACGAATTGAAAAAGTTTCTTTTTCATAAAATATCAGGTGCATATTTTTACAACTTTTCCTATGAAAAAATTATCATCCGATGCTATTCATGCGATAATTTAGCAAGATATGCATCATTTAAGAAATTAAAAATGTTTGCAAAGTAATCAACTTTAACTAATTGTTTTGTACCAAGTGTGTCAAGTTGATAGAATGTGCAGGAAAGTATGTGATGCACTGAAGTATAAGCTTTTAAATGGAAGTCATAAGCGTACACGTACTTAACAAATCAACATTTTTATCAGCGAAATTAATCATCGCCCGCTTAGATTTCGCCTTAGGTAGAATGTCATAAATTACAGGAGCGATTTTTTACGCTAATTATTGCTTATACATCGATGGCCTTCGAATAATACCACAATTTACCAGCCACTGGTGCGAAAGACGTTATTATTTATATCTTTTTCCATTAACATATCGTTCGTCTCATTTAATTACTTCTGCTGCTGATCTTACAGTTTTAATAATTAAACCACTCGCCAATCAACGTAACATAGCAATATGTCATGTCACATTGATTTAAAATAAATGTTATTTATTAATAAAAAAAAAACAAGTGCATTTACATTTTTCGATTATACAAACATGAAAATAATAAAATCTCTACTAATAAATGACTGACATCAATAGAGTGCAAAATTAAAAGATATGCACATATATATTTTTTACATATTTTTGCATATTTATTACTTACATGTTTATTATTTTCTTACATATTTTATTACTTAATTTTCTTTGCTTCACTTTTGCGTACCTGTCAATTCCGAATGTACGATTACTTCCATCATATCAGACTCATTACATTAAGGTACGCTTAAAGCTGAGAGAAAATTATCAATTTCTTTTTAAGCAATGAACAGGGTAAGAGAGAATGTACCGCAATTCTCTGTGATTATCGTCCGCGCCGCTGCAACAACTGACGTGGCTCCCCTGAGGTATACCTTTTATACCCGTCTCAAGAACTGGCGTCGTCAATCGCCACAATGTAGACTATAATGTCGGAGAATTGTGAGTCCGCCCGTTTTACGTTCTCTCGTCCTTTCGCGTAAAGACCCAAAATTCCAAGAAAGAGAATATACAATTCTCTGTGACGGACGCACGACCGACTTTGGATGGCAGATACCTTTTTGCCGCGTGAACGCGCGCCCTTCGTATCCTTGTCGATGTTGATGACTGGCTTCTGTCGGCTCGGTTTTTTTTTGATCCGATAGAAGACGATTTCCTTTGTTTCCTCTTGTCGCAAAGTCTGCAAAAAGGAACGTAAGATCGTCGTTACAGCCGACGGTTTTATTAATGGCCACACCTACAGAGACACCAGCTGCCACGTGAGCCGCAGGGCGATCATTAGCTGTAAGATCGCCTCGTGTAGAGACAATAATAGAGATAGCAACCATAAATACCTACAACGTGTCCATCTATCAATAGCGTCTAGCCGAGCCAAGTTAAGTTTCAAATATTTCCATATGAGATTATCGGGCTAATGTGAGGACCAATTGTATGTACCGATTTACCAAACCAAACGGAAAAATTTCTCTTTTATTTTCTAAAGTAAATATGTCATCATTAATTGACGAAGAAAGGTGTTTAATGAAAAATTATATTACCAGGAAAAATGCAACAAGACATAATCGTATAATTATAATGACCTTTTATGATGTTTTATGATGCGTTATTTTCATCGTTAAAGATATATCGTATACTTTTATATTTAACGTTGCGCGCTTTTATAATTCTACTTTATTCTTAATAGCTATTTATAATCTTAAAATTTTTTCATCAAAATTTACGAAAGAATTTTAAAATTATTTATATCTAATACTCTTTACTAATCGGTATGTTCGTATCAAACAAATCTTGAAAATTGGTACAAATGTAGCGTGACTACAGAGAAATCTTCAATCATCGTTATACCATATGTCATTCAATCACAAATTATAAGTC